ATGGTTAAAATCACATAATTTCTGTTTTAAAAAGTTGATGGCAATGATTAAAGATTATTGCAATTAAATTCTGTTTACACATTAAAATCTTAGAAAGTCAGACATGCATTTATTGTTGCTAAGAATGCAATATTGAAAATGCAAATATTTACTCCATCTACTTCACTCCAAACTGGATAAAATATATCAAGTTTTACACCTCTGAATTTGGCTGTACTTCTGTTCCCTCCTGTTTGCTGTGTGACTTTCTTAGCAAATGGGTTGTCTTGAAACATTATTTCTAGACACTTGTTTACATTTTAAATAAATGTCAGTTTTCTACGGATGTAAAAAAAAATGTATTTCTTTGGATAAACAGTTGCAAACAAGTTTTTTTTATAATTTCTTTGAATAAGAAAATCTAATCTAGTGTGATTTTTGGTAAAGTAGTCCACATCACCATTTCATCTATTTAAAGCAAATTTTCAACATTTGCTCTTTTCTTATTCAAACTTTCTACTCATTTTTCTATATGGTTGACCCATATCCAACTGCTTCCCCCTTACAACTTCCCCCTCTGCACTCACTGCCTCTCCTGGGAAGCACTGGGGCCTCTCTGAATTTGGGTGTCTCTCTCATCTTTGAGGCACTGGTTTCATTTTCTATTGTGTATACTAACTCCGTTTTTTTTTTTTTTTTAATCTATTTCTTTTTTAGTGCTGCAATGGCTTAGAAGTTTTGTCTCATTTTTTATTCTAGTGCTCTGAGATCCTATTTTCAGCACTTAAGTCCCAAGGGCCCTCAACCCAGACCCCTTTCCCCCTGGCAGGGCTCATTAAGCCGCCAGGCGCTTGTGTTTTCCTGGCTTCTTTAGTTCCACTTACCCGCCGCACTCTGGAAATTTGTTTTGAGATCACCTTACCAAAGACAGCCCTAACCTCTGAGAACTCCTGCTACTGACAGAGGCTCCTGAGTGACAGTGTCTTCCCAGGCACAAGAGCCCAAAGAAAGAGGCCCAGCACCAGCATTTAGGAGTTTCTGCTGGATGACCTGAGACAGTCCACTGAGCACTATGCACTGAGAGAGAACCTACTTCCTAAAGGCAAGCAGGATCACCCCCAGGCTCCATTCCCTGGCTAAAGAAGGTGTAACTACTTCAAATTGCCTGTGGCACTGGGAAAAGTACTCAACCATCAGTTAAATTTTGCTTTCTTTTTATAAATAGATAGTCCCTGGGAGTCCTAAGTTAATATATGGACAGTGTGTATGCCTGGCAAATAGAAGACTCAGTAATTGTTAGCTGTATATAGGAACACTGGAACTGCCTGGGAAGAAGTCAGGAGATGGGCAGGGCAGAAGCAAATTTGTGTCAAATCAGAACTCTGTCTTAGCTGTTCCAAGTATACTAATGAGAGAGAGAGAGAGAGAGAGAGAGAGAGAGAGAGAGAGAGAGAGAGAGAAAGAGAGAGAGAGACAGAGAGAGAGAGACAGAAGGAGAGATTGAAATTCTATGTTGCATCGTTGCAACCAGAGCCTATGTACAGGAATTTTTGAGAATTTGAGGGTGAAAATATCTACCTATCTAAAATGGTATCACAGAGACTCCACGTGCTGTGTGTGTACTCAGATGCTTCCCCTAAAGTGAGATAGGAACCTTGTCTTCAGGAGCTTGACTCTTATCTCTTTTATTTTCGGCTTGGAGCAAAGTATTCAGGTCAAAAGTATACATTTGAAAATAGGTCTAAATAAGGTGTAATTGGGTTTCCAGATGACTAAATAGCCCCTTGGTGTGAAAGGGGGCCTGATTTTTCAGAGAAAATCTTTGTCTTCAAATTGACAGGACAGAAAAGAGGGGGCAGAGAAAAGGCACTGCTAGCAAACACATTGATGAACACCATCACTCTCCTGCTCTATCGGGTTTTCAGGTCCTTCATTTGGAGTCCTTGCATCCATAGGAAGTTAGAATTACTCTGGCCTCTACAGATAACAACATTGCTTTAGGAAAATTACATTGAATCATAACAGTCATCATAGAAAGGAAAGCTTCTCCCCTCTCTGTACACAAACACAAAGTCACTTTGGAGACACACCACTTACTGAACCAGATGATACTCTGTGAAATTGTGAACAATCCTTTTCTTACAGTGGGGCTGCCATTCCTGGTACAAAGTCCTAGACTACTTGTGTAGACCTTAAGTAACTGCATTTTCTAAATATAAACAGTATCTCCCCTTGTAAGTGATCTGAAAGTGAGTTAATCATGGAGGAGACATGGTAAAGGCTGATGAATAGGTTCATTTTGACTTAAACGGTGCCCTTCCCCTTTTGTCTTCCATCCACCAAAATTTCAAAGACCTCTCTGCAATTGCATTTCTGGAAGGCTTTTGTCACCAAAGTGTGTGAAGTCACTCTGAGCTGGAGGAGTTGGAAATTTTACACTAGCCTGGGATTGCTGTGCCAGCAGCTGGAATGCATCTGTAACGGTGTTAGTTTGCCTGAAAGCAGAAAATTAGCGACCCCAAAGCCTGGCTTGGCTGTTTAGTCTGTAGAAATGATAGCGCTAGGGCGGAGCAGAAAACTCCGGAGAGGGGAGACTTGCCACTGGAAATGGAGTTTAAGGTGAGAAACTAGGCTTCTGCCTTGCTGATCCAAAGATGTGGGATCTTCCAGTCAGGTTCTAGCGAAAGCCTGGCCCAGAGAGACTCTCTGGGACAGTTTGTCTGTGCAGAAGGAAGGGGTGTAAGCTAGGAGGGGAGGAATACTGGAGGGTGGCTTGGCCCTCCTGAGACCATTTCTTTTAGATGAGCAGAGATAATAAGAACTCTGAGGGAATTATGTGTTGAAAAGGAAACCCCAGCTTCCTACATATGCCAGGACTGTTGCACCCACAAAATGACTATCTCATCAGAATTTACTCCTTCAGTTTTCACAAAATAGGTTTCAAAACGCCACACACTAGCTTCACTCCGTGAATGAAAATGTCACTTCAGATTTTTAACAACTGTTTATTACCTGGGCACAAATAAATAAAGGTTCCTCAGGTAAAGTTCATGAAAAAAGATAAAGAAGAACTTAAGAATAAGGCAGTTTCACATGTTCGGGATCCAGGCAGTAGGTCAGCTCTTAGTATCCGATGGAAAGAGGGAGTTTCGTACATTGTTATTATCATTATTATTATTATTATTAATTATTATTATTATTTTAAAATGCGATCAATTTCAAAATGTTACCTTCCTTAAGTGATTCCTTGTTTTAGTTTATCCGGAGTTCAAATGAGCTGGTTGCAAAGCAGAAATGCAGTAAAACCATTAGTGTTGAAAGGACCAGTAAATAGAAAATTGTCTCTAGAGGAAAGTCAGAAGTTTGTCCAGACAGCCCCTGCGGGGGTTGCGGTGGGATATGGTAATAGTGGCCAGCCACTGGGGCCAGCCTCCCTCCCCATCCCCCAAGAATATATAAAGAGTCCCAACCTCAGTCACCGACCCTGACCAAGAGGCGTCTGTCCTTGTTAATTACTGGAGAAACAACCCCAACCCGGGGGAGCTCTGCTGGCAGAGCTGGATTTGCCGGCCTGCAGTGGCCAAGGGAACTGAGATTCTTGCTTATCTCCCTCGTGGCTGAGTCCAGGTGCACCACTTGCCCTTCCACAGAATGGATATGATGGACGGCTGTCAGTTCTCACCTTCTGAGTACTTTTACGAAGGCTCCTGTATTCCGTCCCCTGAGGGTGAGTTTGGGGGTCAGTTTGAGCCACGAGTGGCTGCTTTCAGGGCACAGAAAGCAGAGCTGCAGGGCTCAGACGATGAACACGTGCGAGTACCTACTGGCCACCACCAGGCTGGTCACTGCCTCATGTGGGCCTGCAAAGCATGCAAGAGGAAGTCCACCACGATGGATCGGCGGAAGGCAGCCACCATGCGTGAGCGCAGACGCCTGAAGAAGGTCAACCAGGCTTTTGAGACGCTCAAGAGGTGCACCACCACCAACCCCAACCAGAGGCTTCCCAAGGTGGAGATCCTCAGAAATGCCATCCGCTACATTGAGAGCCTGCAAGAGCTGCTGAGGGAGCAGGTGGAGAACTATTACAGCCTGCCGGGACAGAGCTGCTCAGAGCCCACCAGTCCCACCTCCAACTGCTCCGACGGCATGGTAAGCCAAGCCACAGCTCCGATACCTAACCTCCCCTACTCAGGTCTTTGCTAAAAATCCTTATACCTCATCTAGACCAGGTGCAGTGGGGTGGAATGGAGAGGAGGCAGGTGCTCCGTTGCTTTAAGAGAAGTGTTCACACTGAGAAAGATGCACCGAACAACTGTTGAACAGATTTTAGTTTGATTTCCTAGCAGGTTCCAGATACACTTACAATGCAGCAAACGTTTGGCATGTAAGCTGGGTGTCTGTAATAACTAGTCAGATGTTTTTTTCTGTTATCAGTTTATCTTCAAAATATATCACAATGCCCCAAAGTTTATAACTTAATGAAGAATTCAAAACCCTGTTATGTGGAGGCCTGGCTGGAAGGAAATGTTTATGCATTCTTTTCAGATGGGCGTTTGCTCCAGGATTGCCAGATTTTAATGTGATTTTTGCCCTGGGAAAGTGTTCTCTCCCAGAAGTAATGTGGCCTCCCTCTACTCCAATCCATTTTGCATGGTTAACTCAGTGCACATTGCTGCTGGATTCCACTCCCCCTTCTTCTTTCAGCACAGAGATTGACTTGGTGCCTTGGCAATTTGGAGAGAGCCACCCCTTCCTAAATCTGTGCAGTGAAGGGAACTGAGAGAAATCAGTTTACTGAGTTAGTGGTTGAGTGCTGTCTCAATCTACATCAGCGCATCTTTTGTAAGGCTTCAAAATATATTTCTTTTGTGTCTTGTATTGTAGCCTGAGTGTAACAGTCCTGTCTGGTCCAGAAAGAACAGCAGTTTTGACAGAGTCTACTGTCCTGATGTATCAAATGGTAAGAATCAATAACTCCAGAAGCATTTAAAGACCGGGTCTCTCTCATTATTTGATGGGCAGAGTTTGTTCTTCCATGAAGTACTGGGAAAAGGGAATGAAAGTGATGGTTCCGACAGGAGGCTTTGGAAGAGTAAAACAACCATATATTTTCTGGTACGGATTACCCTGATACACACACACACACACACACACACAGACACGCACGCACGCACGCACGCACGCACGCATGCACGCACACACACACACACAGATGTTACCAGAGGGCTTCCCTCCCCCATATGCCATACCTCCACCCTCAGGAATTGCTAGATGCTTTCTTCACAATTCTGCATCAGGCTTTCTGTGATCACCTCACCTGTGGACCTGTGTTGTCAAAGGAGCTGACCTACAGTTTAAGGGGCTGCATAAGCAAGCCTGTCTATGTGGCAATAATTTTTTTTTTTACCACTTTTCTCTTTGTATCATTAGCATATGCTACAGATAAAAGTTCCTTATCCAGCCTGGATTGTTTGTCCAGTATAGTGGATCGAATCACCTCTGCAGAGCAATCTGGGTTGTCTCTCCAGGACCCAGCCTCTCTCTCTCCAGCTGCCAGCACCAGTCCACAGCCTGCAAATCCAGGAGACTCCGGTTCCAGACTTACCTATCATGTGCTATAAACTAAGTAGCCAGTGGCAATCAGTTCTGTCAGGAGGGCCTACTATACAGGAGGAAGGAGGCCCCCACAAGTACAAAGGGAAGACAAGCTGTATATAATAAGTGCTTATCAGTTGTATATTTGTAAATATTATCTTGCCACTTTATAAGAAAATGTATTTAACTAAAAATCATGATTGCAATGAATACTCCACCTTCTCCCCTTTTTCTTCCTTTATGTCTTCCATCTTTAGCTCTATTTTTTCACCTTAGATATATAGTTCTAATAATATTATTTCTGATGGGAGCAATTCATTGAAGGTTGCTTGTTGCAATGCTTAACTTATACATATATAATATAAATATTGCTCAACAAAATATGCTTGGTGTTTAGCTCTTTATTTTTTTCTTCAAAACATTTTAATAGCTGGAAATCAGTTATAGGGAACTTAAAATATATTTAACATTTGCTTTTCTCTTTAATATTTTATTCATATTGTGTCAAGTGAAAATATGAGAATACTGTCTAATGGCATATATTTTCATCTTTTCTTCAAGAAAATTAATCTTTTCAGTGTAAGCACTAAATAGTACATTGTGGATAATTTCAAGATATAAAAGATTTTGGAAATTCCACCATAAATAAAATTGTTCATTGAAAGAAATGCTCTGCTTCTTGACTCTTTAAAATAACACCCTTCATGGAATTAGCAGTTATTAACAAAAAACTTTAAGTATGGGTTGAAAATAAACACTTGGCTTTGTAGATAAATATGAATATAATGTAATATTATGAATGTAGTTTATGTTTTGTTGATGTCACCAATGAAAATATATTTCCAATGAAAACGTATTTCAAGGGAGTCTGCTAAATTGAACTTTTCCTTTTTCTTTGTGCTTTTCTATACAATGTCCAGTTGTGAATGGGAAAGGATAGTAGAACTTATTCAGGACAACAATATTTAAGAAAAAAAAGACTGAACAATATCTACAGTACTTTGCAAAACATGAGTTAGGTCTTATTAACTTTTTATATGTGCCTAAAAATACCTTTATAGATAAATATATTAATACTATTAATGAAATATTTAAATAAATTGGACAATTTCTTCATATTTCTAAAAAGCCAGCATAAGCGATCTTGACAAGCCATAGCAAAGTGAAGCAAGTGGCTTCACCATTTTTTGGTTTTTTATTTTATTTTTATACATTTTAATTGAATTTTTGTGTATTTCATATATAACATCTTAATCATCTTTATATCTCCTTCTCCATTGGTAGCCACCCATTGCCCCCTTACCCCTGAATTTCATGTATTCTATCATTTGTATTAAGGCCTGTTGAGTCAAGTTAGTGTCCCAAGATGTCCCTCAGTGCAAGTTCATCCACTGAGGCCTAGTCAGCCTCGCTAGACTTCTTCCCCTTAAGAACATCAGCTGTTCTTCATCCAGCAGTCATTGGCTTCCAGTATTTTAGAGTAAGATTGAAGCCTGCTGCACGTTTCCACAGTCCTGTGCTGGGTTTTTGTCTGCTTGAGATTGCATGATTTTTGTGCATGCTGACACCATTGCTGTAGATTCATACGAGCTAGGTCCCAGGAGCCTGTAGGACTCTCCCTCATTTTTATAGCTTAAAAAAGTTCACTAACCATACTTTGACTGTACAGGCAAAGGTGTATGTAAAATAGACAGGAATTTTATTACTCCCTTCAAGCTCTTCTGGAAGGAATTGAGATGAAAATTTGTGTAATTAAGTAGAAAACTAGACTGAGATTGAGAAAACATTGGGGCAGCCTTTATAAGTTTACCATTGAGAGAAAAAGAATATATCCCTAAAGTATAGAAAATAGCTGTTAACAGACAAGATAATGGTTTCACTCTCTAATTTGTTTAATTTAATTTAATTTAATTATTTATTTGTGAGACTGGTCTTACTGTGTGCTGCCAGCTGGTATAGAACTTAGTATGCAGACTGGGCTGGCTGTGAACTTGTGGTGGTTTATCTGCCTAGGACTCCTGAGTGCTGGTATTGCAGGCATGTGCCATCACATCCAACTTAGTCTCTAATTTGTACATTTGTGTAAAATTATTTAAGGTTTGTGGTTACATTTTTAATCAGAGGATACAGACGCTGCTACAGGTTGGCAGCACCGCTGTTCTCAGGAAAGTCTCTCCTCATCTTTGAGTCGTTTTCTTTCCCTTGTCCAGTCGTTAGGCTTAAAGGAATCTAAGCCATTCCATAAGGGAGGGGGAATCGCTGACTTAAGAGCTGATTGCTGCTACTGTGACTTGGTTAGCATGATACCATGACATGGCATGGTGACTGTCACACAAAGAACAATTTTTTAAAATCCCAGATCTTGGAGTATAAGGATTTTAGGTGGAGAGAATTCAGGAGGCATGATAAAGATTTGACTTGTTTATGGTGGGCACATTTTCTCCACTTGTTACTTTGATAGAGAAACTGGAGGTTTTGTTGTTCTTAGTAAAATCAAGAAGGAAACAACCTACTCAAATACTGGTTATTTTAATTCAATATTAAACATAACCATAACTGTTTCAATAAATTAAATGAAGCAGAACATGTAATGAAATTTTTTCACTGAAGTGTAATAAAATTGATTTTTTTCTCACCAAATCCTAATTATTTCTATAACTTTGCAAGTACATTTCATATGTTCAATGAGTAATATAATGTATTACTTTATAATAATATAATTATTAATTTAATTAATATAAGTACCACTTTATAAAATACTCAAAGTATTTAGAGCTTTTCCAATGATCTGCAGTGAACTCAAATGATTAGAGACAATATTCCCAATGCTAGCTTGCTCAATTCATCTCATTTCTAACATCCTCACATGGAAGACTGAGGGTCTGTTTAGTAAATGACCCAGCACAACACATTATTTGCAGTTGCTCTGCTACTTTTTGCAGAAGAGACCTTTGGAAATTGGTTCTCTAATGGCTATGATTCAGAAAAATCTTTACTCCAAGAAAGCAGCACGTAGGGGGAGGGAATGAAGCTGACAGAACATGCATGCAGTAAAGGAGATGGTTTTGACATCGATAAATCTCTGTGAGGGAACAGTTGGATTGCCTCTGAGTTCATATTAGACTATGTCACCTCACCTGGGAAATTAACCTGCAGACAAATTTCTTGCAGTAACAGAGATAGTGTTTTACTTTATTTGAAAACTTACTGGGGGCGAGTTTCCCAGGAAAGAGTTTAAAGAGTTTTCATTTTTCTCATGCCTGGGATGCAAGATCTGAGTTACATGTAAAAACTGAGTACATGAGATTACAGAAATTGGTAACAGTATTTGGAAGCTAGTTGCTGCACTCAAACTCTTATTTGAAAGATCAAAGTCAGATAAAATTAGTGGCTATTTAATACCCATGTATTCCTCTTTAGAATGACTTTCTTATAATGCTTAATCTGAGTGGTTTTGCTCAAAGTCTTTCTTTAGAGTTATAATGGTTACTAGACTACAGTGATAATTTACTTCTCTATAATATTAATGTATAGCTATTTACAAGTTCAGAAAATCTCTGCTTGAATGACAAGGTACTTCTACTTCTGAAAATATTACTACTGAATTTTCCCTCTTTATACTCCAAAATGCAGAATATCAAATTTATTTATTTACTTTAAGAATTCTAATTACAATATTTTAGCTGATTAGTGATTTGCTTTGTGATAAAATTACAAAAAGTGACAACTAAAATTATTATAGTTTTAAAATCATAAAAGTTATTGTTTGCAAAGCAAACTAAAGGCACTCTACCTATATGCCCATCAATCCACTTCAATACATACTAAGTAGACAATAATCATAAAGTAGCAATTAAAAAATAATAAACATTTACCATCATACAAGTTAGGAAATTGAAATATAAAAAGTTTAATAATTCTGAAAACACAGCTAACTAACAGCATCCTTACAGCAGAGGCTTTGGGAGACTAGAGCAGAAATTGTAAGGCTTCTTATGGCTTAGCATTGCAAGTTTATATTTCTGCTACATTTTCTTATTAGTCACTTTCTTGTTGTGACAAAATATCTGATAGGAAGCCACTCAAGAGAAGAAGCATTTTTTTTGTCTTACATGCCATCATGATTGGGAAGGCATGGAGACAGGAGCAGGAAGTAGCTGGTCACATTGCATCCACAGTGAACAAACAGAAAATGGGGCCAAATTATAAAACCTGCCCTGCCCCCAGTGACCCATTTCCTCCAATGAGGCTACATCTCCTAAAAGTTCCACTGCCTTCCCAAACAGTGCCATCAGTTGAACTGCAAGTGTTCAAACAACTGAGCTTGTTGGGGTCATTGCGTGTTCAAGTCTTTCAATGAAACAATTTATAATCCAATCAAGAATCACAAAGAAATAATCTCCAGCTTTTATTTTTATTTTTAGTTTTTGGTTCTTTTGAGACAGGGTCTTCCTGTAGCCCCAGTTGTCCTGGAACTTACTATGTAGACCAGGCTGGCCTTGAACTCACAGAGATCTGCCTGCCTCTGCCTCCTGAGTGCTGGGACAAAAGGCATGCACCACCATGCCTGGCAAAAACTTCAGCTTTTAGTGGTGGAAAGAGACATAGGCATGAATTCATACGTAGCATCACAATGACTACTATATACCAGCAGTTTGTATTCCTAACATTTCACCCAATTCATTCCATGACTTCTGCTTCTATCACTATCCATGATCCTTTGAAACCTTCCATTCAGTGGACTGTTTATATCTAGGGCAAGTCTATACTTCTATCACAGACATCTTCCTTGATCATTAGTTCCAATATTGCTGGCAGTTTGCTAAAAATTCCTTGGAAGTTCCAATGGTATCTGCAAATTAATATATTCCAAATTAAGCTCATTCTCTTCTCCTCTCTCTGTCTCCAAACTTGGCTCCTTTTTAATGCTGACTCATTTAATAAATGACATTATTAGGTTATTCCTTTCATTTCTTTCTCCATTTCTCTTACACACTTGTCTAATTGGTTATAAAATCCTATGAATTTATCCTCTTAAATACTCCTCAAACTTCTACCCAAACTATGATTCACCCT